TAATATATATATTATATTCACGACCTCCTTGAGCTTAAATTCCAAACTCGTCATAATACAGACACGCTAATTTTGTTTAGGGGGCAAAAACCGAACTAAAATCGTTAGTGAGTGCAGCTGCTGATAATGCATTCCCAACGTATTCCGTAATAAAACCCCATTCCATTCTTTGAACAAAGCGGTAAGAACCGCAACTGTCTGTGGACGGACAGAGTTAGATGTTGAGTGCAGAGTGGCTCTTCGCTGAGTCGTGTGATGAAGTATGCATGGCGGAATGAGGTTATAACGTCATAACTCACAATGACGTAATGAGCATAGATCAATGTTCGTTGCGGGTTTGCCCAGGGTTTCCTCTAAAGCTAATCGAGTTCTGTCTGTCTTTGAATGTCGTTAAAGAAAGAGATGAACTAAATGCGTTTCACATATTTGACCTCAAAGAATATTTCCAGACAAAAATGCGGTACCGTGGTGGTTAAAAGTCAGTTTTCAAGCAATTTTTTTAGGATGATTGTTCTACCAGTGTAAAAACTGAAAGCCGAGGTTCAAGGAAAACTATTGTAACAAAAGACCCCATCTTTATTTGCACGTAGACATTTGTAAAACATTAAAAGAAAAAAAATCAAATCTTTACACAGATACGACAACTATGCTAGAGGGACTAGAATTCAGCTGAGAACAAATTCGTAAACTTGTAACTGACGGTAGAAGAACGAAACCAAAATAAAACAGGAAGACAGGATAAATTAAGTTTCTAACTGAAAGAGAAAAAGTAACAGAAAAGTAATTCCTTTGAAAGGAAAAGATAGAGCAGCTCACACAAAAACGTGTAGTTCACAGTACAATCCCTTAATCAAACTCTCTGTTAAGCTGATCTTGCTGATAAAAGATTACTTTTTTCATCACTCTGTAAGCTGCTCAGCTGAACTCGACAAAAACACCACCAGCCCACGATTTTGAAAAAACATACCAACACCACCCAAACATCACCATCGTCATAAGATATTATTGCTATTCTTTTACTACTCCTGCCGTTTCACATACTTAACCCCACTGACTTTTGTTTGATAGATTCAGTTAAGAATACGTGTAGGTGTTAAAATAAGTGGACATTATATTACCTGGGCGCTGTAGTCTGGACAAAACCCGATCGATATTGCCAGAAGTAGCAATGTCATTAACAACACTGGGATGCCACGACTCTCTCTCTCTCTCTCTCTCTCTCTCTCTCTCTCTCTCTCTCTCTCTCTCTCTCTCTCTCTCTCTCTCTCTCTCTCTCACCACAATCACATCCGGCTGCATCACGTGAGTTTCGTCACGAGACCGACGTCACGAGACCGACGTCACGAGACCGACGTCACGTGACTGTCGTCATATTTCCTGTGACAATTACCCCCACATATCTGGCGAGCGTTGAATAAATCAAGAGCGTGTGGACTTACTTACGTAGTATGTTGTTGTCCATTTTAGAACAAAGTGTTGAGTTTCAGAACTTGCGTGGTTCCGCCTTCCATGAATTTGTTTGGCTGTCCTTTGTTTGCGATTACCATTTCAACTTCTAGCCGCGACGTCTGTTATTTAATCTGTCTCGATACAATACATCACGTGACCGGTGCTTTTTTTCACTTTATGATGCAGAGTTTTCTCTGGTTTCTTTTTTTTTAACATCTAAAGGGGAAGTGACAACGTTCCTCTCTACCTGTCTATAATAATCAACACTTTAATGGAGCTGGTACTGTCCCATATTTATAACAAGTCGCTTTTCATCTTACGTAGTATCATAATCCTTCTCCCCCCATTCCCCTCCGCCTCCTCATTCTCCCTTCATCTCTTCCATCCTCCTTTTCCCCTCCTCCCCCTTCGCCTCCTCATTCTCCCTCCACCTCTTCCATCCTCCTTCTTCCATCCTCCTTTTTCCATCTTCATTCTCCCCTCCTCCTCCTAGTCTTTCTTTGTCCTCCTACTACGCATTCGTTCTTTTCTCCCTACCACTTTCTCCTTCTCCTGCGTCTCCTCCCTCTCCTTCCTTTTCCTCTCACTCCTTCCTGTTCCTCCCGCTCCTTCCTTTTCCTTCTGCTCCTTCCTTTTCCTTTTCGCCTCTTCAACTTTCTGCTCATCCTGCTCTTACTCTTCCCTTTCCTCTCATCCCTT